CATTTGACCTCCATGCCAAATTTCAAATTGGCAACCAAGGCAAAAACTGCGGCTGCCAAGGAGTGTCTGATTTTTCTGGGACCGACCAACCACAAAACGACAAGCGCTGCTGGACGGTTATTCACTGCTGTATTTTATGAAATGTATTTTCAAGTCTTTAGCTGATTGGTGAGTTTTAAAGTTAAACCAACAGCGTCAGCACCTTAGTGTTTCATGAATCAGAAACACCTGTTGCTGCCGTTGTTGTCAATATACTGTTTTTGGCCATTGCTCAGTCACCCCTTCATTTGGTGAAGAGAAGTCTCCTATTTAATGCTGACTACCTGCATTACTCATTCACACAGCATGAGTTACACCATCTGGCTGCAGCAAGAAAAGCCTCACATTCAAAACCCAAACTTTGATTTACACTGGAGATTCTTCTTTGGATTTATAGTGATGCAAAAACAGGAGGTTTCAAACACTTTTAGTTCGCCCGGCTGAAAGAAATCCTTCCCAAGCATTTTTTATCAAAATCAGCTGTTTAATGTTATTTATGACTAGAAAAACGCAATTCATTAAAGACTCCAGGGAGCTTTTAGTTTGTAACATGCAACTCAATCCGCTGCCCTCGCACTCAGCACTTTCAAACACAATTCTGAAGACTTACAAGCAGTTTGGAAAAAACATCCTTGCAAACTGGATGCAAACCTTTTGGTTGGGTTGAAAAACCTAGCCTCCAGCTTTCTAATCTCGCCTGCATTGATCAGCCCCCTCCTCCTGCACACGCAAACTTCCAAGCTCAGCGGGCCGCTGTAGCTTAGCAGCTGAACCAGCCTTGACTCTCATTTGTGTGAAGAAGCAAATGGTGCGAGAGTAGAAGACCGTAGGAAAGCCGTTTCAGATGACTTGTCAACCAAGCTGCTACTTACACACAGGGCCGGCGTCTCGACACGACGAGTCCAATAAAGTCAGACACTTTCTGTTCTGCTTGAAATCTGTTCTCTGTCCATTTAAAATGCCCGTTATTTGATGTTCACAGATCAGTGGTATTACCATCGCCGAGGTAACAGTATGCTGCTATCAGTCTCAATGCGGCTGAACTTTACTACTTCAAGGAACACGATTTTCAAAACTTCCAGTCATATTAATACCCTTCAAGGGCTTAAAGCAGTGAGCGAAGATGTTTTGTTCACTTTGCTTTTATTCCTCCTTGTATAGGAAACATCAGGTTTTATTTGAACAACAATAGTTTATTTGAAGTAGCTTTATAATTCATGATTGCAGTGACCTGCCATCCATGTGAGAGCCAAACGCTCTGACTTCAAACAACCTAGCTTCATCACAACATCTGGCCTATGAGGAAATGTTGCCTTTGTTAATGAAGTGATATAAATTGATGTGGCAGACAAAAGCCTCTGTACATTGCGTTTCTCACTGAGGTGGTATTGAAGTATACAAGGATGAGCTTTACTGCAGGCTATTGTTGCTGCAGAGTCGCAGGGCCATCAACAATGTAATAGAAAAAGACAGTTCTTTTATTATTAAAAGTGGTAAATTATGCTGTTTATAGTATAGGGATTTGATCATGTGGCGTTTCATACTTGCTATAATGGCATCTAAGCTGTGTTTTTTTACTCCATGGAAGGCATTCCTTGTCACATTATTAACACTTCGTGGGTGTTCTCCTTTCAAATGATATATCTTAGTTATAACCTTTAAAGTCACCAGTAACCAAGGAAGTGAAATTATTATTAAGAAATCTTCTTTGTCCTTTGAAAATGTGACCTTCAAATCTTTATCAATAAAGCCGCTATTATTTTGTATCAACAATCTTTCGTATGACTACCTATGGCAACTTACTGCTACATTTGGAGAAAAAAAACCATTTAAATGTAAAGCATTAGAACCTATCCCAAAAAGAAAAACATGTCAATGTTTTAATTTCAATTGGTTGATCCTATTCAGCGCTAAAGATGAGCTTGATCCATCCCATCATGCATTAGGCAAAAGCCTTCGAAACACAACAGACATGTGACCATTTTTTGATGTGTCTTATTTGTCTTCATTGTTAATATTCCAGTCAGTAACTCTAGTAACAATTGATTTTATGGAATCATCCATCTGTTTAATTGCAGTGGCTGAATGTGATGACAGTATTATTGATGAGGCAACTTATTTCCAACAGCTGATAAGTCTGTATCTCCAGGATGGTGAGAGTGGGAATGAATCGTAATGTGTATTCTGTCGCTCCTTTCATTTGTCTCAGGTGTTCACCCTTCAATAACAGAATCCCCCCTTCTCCTCTTTAGACTACACCTCCATTTCTCAACAGTAATCTCTTCACCCTAAGCCCTTCAAATCACCATTAAGCCTCTATTCATTCTTACATAATGATCAAATTCATCCCAGTCCATTTACCTTCAAGGTGTAAGATTTACAAAGGATTAGAGGTTGAAAAATCAATTTGCCTGCTCTTGGATGTCAAGTAATCCAGTTTGGAGGTATGTATGTGCCTCTGCTGTGTTAATGGGCTGTGCACTACATGGTTGCTGGCATCAAATGTGATACATCTGTTGAAATTTATAGGGAAATTATGACTTGCATAAGGCATTATTACTCATCCATAGGGGGATTTCTGCCTTTATCCGGTATATGGTGTGAGCAATTAAAGAAGTAGCCTTCGTCCAGTGATTTCAAAAAGCAATGTAATGTCTTATGTGACACGCTGAACTTCAAACAACCGTTTCACACGTAAATATCTACAAAGTGAATATTATAGCACTGTATTGACGCGTTGAGCCATGGGGCTTCACCTTTCACTTTCAACGTCCCTCAGAACAGAGTAAGCAGGCGAAGTTGGATGCAAATGACATCAGACTGTAATGCTGGATACTTACCAAGCAAATGCATAAAGTTAATTGCCATACAGAATGGGGGATATATTTTATCCTAATTTTCAGACTGCTGCATGTTGTTTTATTGCTTATGACGGTGTACATGAGGGTAAGACTGTTGGAAGGAATATCCCATTTTATTTGAAGCCATTAATCTCTGCTACCAATTCTGGACACTTGGTAGTGTAGTTATAAAAAGCTACATGGATTATCTCTGAACTAGTGCTCATATATAAAGAATTTTCATACGTCAGCTTATCTACAAAGGGGGCAAGTCATAACAAATAAAGCAAAACTAGTTACATTACATTACATTTAGCTGACGCTTTTATCCAAAGCGACTTACACTAAGTGCATTCGACCAAGAAGATACTAACTTGAAGAAAACAGAATCATATAAGTACATCAGGTTTCATAGAGCCAAAACATTTCAAGTGCTACTCAACTGGCTTTAGATAAGCTAGTCCTTTATTAGTATACAAGTGCTTTGTTAGTCATTTTATCGCTCGAAGTGGAGTCGAAAGAGATGAGTTTTTAGTCTGCGCTGGAAGATGTGTAAGCTTTCTGCTGTCCTGATGTCAATAGGGAGCTCATTCCACCATTTTGGAGCCAGGATAGCAAACCGACGTGTTTAGTTAAATTGAAATGCATTGCATTATTGTAAAGATGTTATTTTGGAACTTATTTAATTGAGATATCGTGAAGGTAAAGACAGAAGCCATACATTTATGATAAAAAACACAAATAACATATTTATAAATGTGCAGGACATGTACGACTTTTTAGGACAATTCATATACTGAATTGTTTATGATGGAGCTAAGATAATTAATTGTTTCATAAATAAATAGATCAACAGAAAACATGATTGATACTTGCTTCTCTTTGATGCTTTACTGTGTTTTATATCCTAACGTTTTGGGCTTTTGTTCAAACAAAACAAGACATTCGAAGATACTGTTTAATATTCTTACACAAAAACACAAAAACAGGAGGATTTCATTAGCTTGGTTTATTCTGATATCGGTACAATAATTACATATTGGATAGTGAGTGGTCCATATTTAGGATGGAGTCGCTGTTGGTTGATGTTTTGTACTCATAAGTCAGAGTTACTGTTATTGTGGTTTTGTTGGTGTTGCACCAGTTGGTAAGAAGTTGTTATTTACACAGCTTAAAAAATATAAGATACTATAATTTTTGGACCTTGGGGTTTCATATGTGTGCACAATGTGTGTTTGTCACAATTCTTTTTTGAAGAAGTCAGCGATTGAGTGTTTTGAATTTCTACGAGCAAGGTTTTAAAAAGTTCAGATTCGTTGTTTACATGATGGAGTGTTTCCTTGTTATAGAGAATGTTACCCCAAACAGTCATAACACTCGATAATTAGAAGATAGCGTTGAAAAGATGCCCAGAGAGGCTTCCCCAGGGAGCTATATGATCTGCAGATTTTACGATAGCACAGTGCAGGCAGGGCGCACCACACATTGTGTAAAGGGTGAAGGGCACAATATAAAGGGCTGTTTTTCTGTAAAGGGCTGTTGAGATTTTATCAAGAGGATAAAATGCATCCTTTTGGACATAAGTTGTTGTAATAATTGTGGTTTTGTCTGGGGCTTTACTCATTAGTGATTCCATGCATATACCAACACATATATTGGGTAATTTACTAGACATCTTCAAATATACAGCCTTTTTGTATGTATATCAAGTAAAGGCACTTTATGATCCTCTTCAAAAAAGTTGTCAAAGATATTTACGAGGTCTGTCGCTCTGTGCCTGAAATGAATTATAGCTTTGACTTATGTATTCATTTAGTCATGGTTTACTAGTGGAAGCCTTGGCTGGTAGTCTACAGGGTCTTAAAAGCCATTACATTATGTATATGTGGTCAGCTTCCCCACAGAGAATACACGAGTGGTTTATAGCATTACAACTAACCGAGGGATGGGTGGACATGCCATCACAGTGTTCGGTTTTTAATAAAGACATGTCTGTCATGGAGCTTAAAAAGCCTGCATGGACCACTCTCTTCTTTTGTTTCCCCCTGTGACAGTGACACTTAGCTGCTGCTGATGATAGCTCTCCTCTGAAGCTAGTTATCTGTGTGATCTGTTTTGTAGGTGATCCTCATGTTGACAAAGTACTACGACTTCAACTCTGGCAGAGTAACGGAGAGTTCATTATGGAGGTAAGATCTTCTGTCTGTTATAACAAATCATTTCAAACTGATTTGTTTCGCTACAGAAAATGATACATTACCTTTGTTCGGTGTCTCAGAGTCCTATCTAAGTTTATATATAAGATCTACAATAGTAAACCTCTTTGATGTCTTATGAACATATAGTAATAGTATTAAATCAAAAAAAGATTATACGTCAGTGCTGTGAAAGAAAGCTTTCCACTGCAACAAAATACAGTATTTGCAAGGTTACTGTGCAAATACAGTTGATTCCTAAGTGAAGAAAGGAACTTGAAGAGATTACATTGGGTTTTATCAAGGCCATGACAAAAGTAACATTTTCAGAAGGAAAACCATGTGATATATTTATTATAATTATGTACAAAAATGCTACATTTTGGTTAATATCCAATGTGGTCGTTGCACACTGTTTAAATAATGAATAATGAATACTTATTTGCCATTTCACACACTCAAATGTTTCTGAAATGCCACCAAACAACTGAGACCAGCATAATATGTTTATTGATTACAATTTATCCGAAGAAGTTATCTAAAGTCTGTTTGTTAATTGTTTTTCTCTGGTTCTGAAAGTTCCAAAAACATTTTAATGCTTTATGTTAAGTCATCTGGCAATTATGTCTCTAATCCTCAATATGATTTATTAAACATGAAAATCCCAAACTTTAGATTTATGTTTTACCCCAAAGCAGCAATAATATTAAAAGTAATGTTTCATCCCCTCACCACCAGGATATTCTTGTTTATTTGGATAATTAAAAGAATCTCCATTCATCTAGCAAATTGCTTCAAGACTTCTGCTGTTGCAATTTTCTGCTTGCCTGATATGCGTAATGATACCATCAGCATCTTAACTAGAAGGTGAACCTTCTTTCTCCTTTTCTCTCAGCACAACCTGTTTTACTTTATCCTTCTAATTAAACTTTAGGTCAACGGACTATGGGTCGACATATGAGAAGCTTAATGAGAAAGTCGGGCTAAAAACCATCCTGAGCTACTTGTACGTGAGTCCGAACAATAAAAGAAAGGTAAGTGTGCACATGCATCTTATTAAAAATCACGTCTGAATTGAATAAATTGGTCATTATATTTGCTGTGTAACAGAGGTTTATTTTAGCATCTTCACTACAAAGCAACCCTACAGGAGTCTGCACGATGCGTCTGTTCCAAACAGCGCACAAGTACACATAAGCCCTGAGGAATGGATGCTGTCGACGTGGGCCGCTGATTCCCCCCGTCTCCTTTCTTGTCTCGTCTCAGATCATGTTACTTACCGACCCGGAGGTGGAGAGCAGCCTGCTCATTAGCCTTGACGAGGGGGCGACCTATCAGAAACACAGCTTAGCCTTTGATATCCTCAGCCTGCTGTTTCACCCCGAGCAGGAGGACTGGATCCTGGCTTACAGCCACGACCAAAAGGTAACTTGTAGCTGTCAGGCGTCATAAAAATAACTGGAATCAAGAATGAAATGAAAATGTGACAGGAAAGAAATCTCTGGCTGTTGAATAGGTGTGTAGGATTTTCTGCTTATCATGCACGACTTAGCTCAATGTGAGATTTCTGCCAGACTCTTCTTGCCATTATATATTATATCCTGTTGTGCCACTTCCTACCATTATATGAAACATAGGTTGTTGTCACGCTCCAAACATTAATTTTGATAATAGCGGCCAGCTTTCAGGACATAGTGTTCATGAGCGGAGACATCTGCCACTGAAGCCAGGCTGCCGGTGCCAAAAGAGAGGCAGCCCATCACCTGCTCCCTTTATCAAGTCAATATCTGAAACTGAATCCAACTCTGAATTATACGTCCCACAAAACACACAGGAAAGTTAACAAGGAAGACACATCTAAACACACAGTAGGATGCATAAACACACACACTTTTTCATTACTCTGCCCAAGAACCCTGCTTTACTCAAAACCACAGTCATCAAACTCGGCCTTCCCAGCCTGCTCTTGGAAGAGTTGATTTTCCGAGAGAAAAACAGTCAAGGTCTGAGAAGTGAGATAAATGGTGCAGGGGGGAAGATGAAAGCTTACTCGAGAACCATCAACCGGTCAAGAAGACGCTCTCAATAAGTTTGCCTTAAGGTCATTCAGTACGTCTCTGTAAATCGCAATTGAATCTGCTTTTTTTTCCTTTTAAACTGCGAAAATTAATCATAGCTTGGTTTCATTTTACATTTATTGATTGTCTGTCATGTCTTTCTAAAGTGTAAAGCTCTTGGATAAGTCTAAATAATGTTGCTTATCCTTGTAAAGCTCCAAGCTTTAGATGCTTGCAGCTCGATCATTACGACAAGATGACAGGCTTTCTTAAAGCTTCAACACAAGTCCAGTAAAAAGAGGACTAATGGCTTTATTGAATAAAAGGACTACAATGACACTTAAATGAGTGATTTTATAACACCAATTAAGCAAAAATCCTGCCGAGTTTCTTTACTAAGTAGACATTTTAATGTAATACAGAGGCCAATTAGTCTGTCCTCGCCTACCCTCTTTTCTAAAGAAACAGATTGACTAGTCTTATTACAATTTCCCTTTTTTCTGAATATCACTGTATTTGTACAGGAACTGATGGATTTTCTCATCACTGATGCAGTTTCACAAAATACACACGCAGTAGTGCATTATTCAAAACAACATCAACACATTGACGCCATAAAATCTACAAATCTTGACAGCTTCTTGATAATACAGTTAGACATATATCAGGGAATAATTCTCTTGGATATTCTGACTTGGAACATTATTCTTTATACTGTAACTCATTTGGTGAATGCATTCCTCTCCATCTTTCAGCTCTACGTCTCTGTTGAATTTGGGAGGAGATGGCAGCTCGTGCATGACAACGTCGTCCCCAACAGATTCTACTGGTGAGATAAACCATCAGTCTGTTTCAGAGGGATGTACTGTTGGCAGAAATGCTAGCATATTTTGATATACTCTGAAAACATGATAAATAATAAACAAGCACAGGACAATTAATTATACATTAATTAATGAAAATGAATCCCACTTAGCATTGAGTTCACAGCAGCAGTACAGAGCCTTTACTGTACACTATGTTCTCTGGGAAGTGGTAGAAACATGGAGAAAACATGAGTACTGACCCCTGACATCAATATTAATGCACATTTCTGATTAGTCAGCAGCTCATTTAAAGTCATATCTGCACAAATGTTACATGTTATTTAGTGGGATCTGAACATGGATAAAAAAAGAGTTAGGGATACTTTTTAGATATGTAATAAAGTGGATTTATATCGGTGGTGGAAGGACTCTGCTTACTTGCACACGCACTTATACACAAACTTGTAAATACTTGCTAACAAGTACATTTTCTGTATTTAAATATGTACATTAGTATCATCAGAGAAATGTGCTTAAAGTATTAGAAGTACCTATTTCACTGATAAAATATCAATATCAATGCATCAAACCTGTGACAATGTTGTTTTGTAATTCTAAAATCTTAATTTGAAAAGTATCAGATAAGTGAAGTAGAATAATAAAGTAGCATCAAATGAAAGTACTGTAGTATATTACACATAGACATAAATGAGACTTGTTCAGTATCCAAGCAACTACTATAAATCACTGATAAACATGAACAGATAACCAAAACTATAAGTATTATTTGTTTTGTTGGGCTATAATCAAGTTACAGTATATCCAAATATTATCACTTTATTCTCACTTTAGTACGAGACCCTATGTATATTGTACATAATTGGCTCTCTAGTGGCAGAGCAAGTGTTTTAGCGATATTAGCTGTTGGGTGCTGATACAGGGGTTATGGCCCAGGATAAATGTTTAATTTATAAAGCTTTTATAGTTGTTGGCTACAGAATCCCTTTTCACACGTATAGCTAAAGAAGCAGAACCATGCACTGAATAATCACAGAAGGTTGGAGTGACCTGCAGTACATGTTCCTGCAGCTTTTGCATTGGTCTGGTAAATACAAAGACAACACATTAACAACAATATTAAAGTTAATACAAATCCACAAGGAAAAAGGAGCTGACAAAGTATACAAAACATAGACACACTTAAGTTTAATGAGGCCGATGTTTTTATCCTCAAAGGAAAGTTGGATATATGACACTAATTTGTTGCGGGGGGTTGAAGAGAGGGAGGTGTGTGGCGCAGTGGACTAGTGCGTTGGTGTTCGGATCAGGGAAGCGCAGGTTCAAACCCCACTGCAGTCAGCATGTCGTTGTGTCCCTGGGCAAGACACTTCACCCCAAATTGCTCCTGTGGGGATTGCCCACAGTATTGAGTATGTAAGTCGCTTTGGATAAAAAGCGTCTAACAAGTAACATGTTATGTAATGTAATGTAATGAAGAGAAATCTATATCCTTCACAAGAGTTAGTGACTTGTGTGTGGTTGGTAAGGTTATTTATTGTGTCTTGCACACACAAATTCCCATTCCATGTGGACTCATAGGACGCCAAAAGATACAGTTCTTTATTATCATCCATCCAGAGAAACTCATCAGAAACGAAAGATAGATTAATAAGAAGTATAGGCCCTAAATCATCACATAATGGCCAATAAAACATGATCAGTCATCTTCAGTCTCTCCTAAATCACATAACTAATGACGCCTTTTCTCTTCGGGGAAACAATTAAATCTTTTCTCTGTAGCTAATGGTAATGTACCTGAGCTCATCTGTGCACACAGAGATCTTTGACTTTTAGCTCAGTTCTGCTTCACATAAGGCTTTACACTGGTCCTTTCCCATGAGAGCATATGTTCTTAATTTAGGTTTGTAGCAGACATCAAGAGACCCTCTTTACTCATTCATCTGGGATAATTTGCTCGGAGGTTCTTACATATAACACTGCACTGCTTTGTAAAATAGAGAATTAAGGATACCAAATTAATTTCTCACACAGGAAAGTCCATGAAAGAATATTCATCTCTAATAATGAAGTGCTGTAAGGGCATATTCATGTCAGATTGTTCTACTGCAAAATAACAGTTTCACAGTGTCTTAAATGAAAATATACCATTTATATCTTGAGTTAAGATTCTAATTAAGGTCTATGGTGTCTGAGATTTCTTTAGCATCGTCCTGAGGCTGCAGTGTTTGAAGATGATCTATCAAAAACCCTCATTTTTCATATTCACATATGCACTCCCTTATATCCTTGGAGGAATAAATCAACTAAAACATGTCAGGAAACAACACAACATGCTGCCCACACTGTCAGAAATCAAGTTTGATAAAACATCTGTCATCACAACCTGCTCTGCTCAAATTAACTGCTAAAATCTGACAAACATGATTTGCAAAGACATGCTAACAGCCGTCCTTGCTAGACAGACATAGTGGTATGTGTTAGTTATGGAGAACACTATGTAACACTGCAGGGGTTTATTTAAGAGCAAGTGCCACTGTTCACTGATAGAATTGGATGAAGTATTTGACAGAAAGTCCATTAAAAGAGATGGAGCTGTGAGGCAATTACAGAGTGCTGAGGGAAGCAGGATGGGGGGCTTTTTATATTACAGTTCAGACACAGTATGGAAAATGAGAAGAAAGCCACCTACTGTCACAACAGCTGCTATTAATACAACAAGTGGTCACTCCTGTCGTCCTGCCGTCATGAAGTATCTCTATTGAAAGTGAATGAAATGGCTAAGTGCACCTTACCCATAAAGTGCAGTGCGGGTCAAATGTCCGTCAGGCCGGTGTTTATAGATAAGGTTGTTGTATTAAAGACCCTGAAAGAAAAGTTAAGATCACAGCTGAAACTCATATTCCCCATCCCGCATACAACTTCAACATTAAATATAATGTAAAGTCAAAATACTGCATTTCTGATAACAGAAAAACAGTCTGTTGCTGAGAGTTAAATGCATTTAATGTGTAAACTGTTTTCCTTTTCGATGTATTTTTTGTATAGAATAATGCCTTTGGTCATCAGCCTTTTCTGTATTTAGCCACTTGATGTTAAACATTTTTACAAAACCGTTAAAATCTCAAGTTAAATGGTTTGTACCAAAGTTTAGAACCTACAGTAGCACTCACAGATATAACATTATGATAAAAGGCAGAGGAAAGAAAAACATAATTTTCTAATAATACAAAATAGGACACATTTTCTCTAATTATACTTTCTTTTGTGAATTGCCGGATACTTTAACCCCTTCAGAACTTGTACCAGCTATTCATAAATCCATCTCTCAATTTGTGTGTAAATGTGGTTATATCTTTACATTTTAATGGTATACGGCAAATATGTTAGTAAGCTAATATTAGTATTGTCACTTAATTAAGTAAGATACAATTAAAGCTGGCAGTTAACTACGGTGTGTCAATTATTTAGTAACAGCTAATCTCTACACAAAAAAGTGTGTCCCATTTTAATTAAAAAGCGCTTATCTCTGCTGCATTATAACTAGGCTAAGTCAGACCCTACAAAGAGCTGATGCAGTCATCTCCTTGAGGTAGAGACTGTTTCAGAGGCCTTGTAAAAAATATTAAAAACTACCCGAGAGGGAAACTCAGTCTTTGGCTTAAAAATGTATGTACACGTTTAGTTTTGAATGGGCAATTTGCTGTAATGAAGTTAAAATAACAGGGTTGGGAACCAATTACTGTGACAATGACTTAAGTGTGGGCATATGATGCAAATATTGAGTCACACAATGTCATATCAATGTCAGTATTAATGAATGAAGGCTCTCCTTTAAGCAGAAATGTAATGTTTCCTTCATGTTTGTCACGGTGCAGGTCCAGGCTGGGCTTAGACAAAGAGCAAGGGATGATTCACCTGGAGATCATCATCTCTGACGGACGTGAGTCATAAAATGATGTTACCTTGGCAACGCAGAAAAGTAGACTAGTGAAATTTTTAAAGAGATTTTGCATGAAAATATTCACCTTTATTATAATTCCTGAACATTAACTTAGAAAAACAAGTGAGAGCTTTTTTTATGCTGTACTAAAACGTGCGTTCCCATCTGAATTGGCTGCATGGAGACTCTTCATACGATTAAGCTAATTCATCTTTCAACGGCCAGGCTGTGACTTGGCTCTTTTTATTGGCCACAGTGCAGAGAGGGAACTTCCATAAGGCCTCGTGTGTTAATGCCCCGTCCCCGGGGGGACCGCCTCGTTTGGCTGACGCTAACACACTGGGACAGCTCTCTCTCTACTTGATCTATTAGTGAGAATAAGGTTTGGCCTTCAAAATGTTGCCTCTATGGCTCACTTAAAACCATCAGCATAAGCTAAACCTTGATTGTGGACTGCAGACCGTTGTTTGTTTTTCTCTCTGTCATATTTTTAGCACTCATTTCTTGCTTACCCACAGGGTCACAGTACATAACTTGTAAACTTCAGAATTGCTCTGATGGAAACAAGGGCAAGCCTTTCCCTGGATTTATCATCCCTAATTCCCTGGTGGTTCAGGATGAATACGTTTTCATCCAGGTGGGTTTTTATTGCAAGGTCTGGCTTCATTAAAGAGCAATTAAAAGCTGTAAAACCACTGCATTCAATCGTAACTTAATGTACAGTCATATTTTTCATTAACTAGAAAAGGGCCATTATCCTGGGAAAGGATGGCATGAAATGTAAATCACTGTGTTATGTATTGTACTCTAACATCATTCTGCCATAATGCACAACATCCTAATTAGAAGCAAACCCAGCGTTTTGGTGCTGGCTTAAATGCTTTGATACATGCTGTTAGCAATCAGTGTGCACAGTGAGATTTAGGAATATTTACCTGAAATGTGATTTAACTGCTAATTTCACTATATTGCCTTTCCAGGTGCCAGTAGGTGGTCAGTCTGTCCATTATGTGTCCTATAAAAGAAATGCTTTCTACCCAATGAAGCTTCCCAAGTATACTCTGCCAAAGGTAAGACTGCTGGAAGGGATGCAGTGTTTGGTGAGTTGCAGAAGAACAAGTGCGGCATTCATTTTTACTGTGAAACACTCCATTTATTCCCGCAGGCTGTTTTGTGGTATCATAATGACTTAGTGAGGGTTGCTTAGCTGTTCCCGGTTAGTCATAATGTTTGCTGACAAACCCATTAAATTGTTTCCCCCATTATTATCCTCCTAAAAATTGATTTCGTTATGCATGATTACATTTTTAGATGTTGTGTTTATTTAGGACCAATGGATCGTCTTTTAATCAGTTGCCCTCTCGTCTGTATCAACAGATACAGATAATGTGAATGGATGCAGAGCTGCACATTTTCCCCATAACTCCAAAGGAAGTTTTTGAAGCAGAGAAGTACATTTGCTTTTGCGCAGAAACAGTGTCTCAACCCCTTTTGCTCAAAGCCCAGCAGGGTGGCTTAGTGGTTTTAGAGAGAATGGTGGTTATAGTCACAACAACAAGGAGAGATTTATTGCATGCAGTGTTGTTTCCATCCGTCCATCCATCCACCTATCCATCTATAGTGTCAACATTTCCTCGAGATGGAGACACATCCCCTACCTCACCTCACTCTGGAAAAGGTATTCAGTAAAATTAAATGGAGCCTGTCTTCATCTTTGAACAGGCTGCTGATCCTGGCTGAATGATGTCATAAGTGACAAATCGCTTGCTCGCTGCTTGAACTCTGAAGCCAATATGCTCACACTTATATACAGATTTTTTTTAACTCCTTTGGATGAATTCCTAAAACTCGATGGCATGTACAGTACTCATGGATTTCATACATTTAGGACCTGCAGATAATCAGCACAGATGACAACCAGGTGGTGGCAGCGATTCAGGACTGGCACCAGAATGACTCCTACAACCTGTACATGTCTGAGTCCAGAGGGCTGTTCTTCACCCTGATGCTGGAGAACGTTGTGAGCAGTGGAGGACCGGAGGGCAACATCATGATAGACCTGTATGAGGTAGGCAGTGGCGGTGGAAAACTCATGTTGTCTGAAGGGCACCAGCTGTATGAGCAAGGCACTAGAGCGCAAAACGTTTCCTAGCATGAAGGGCAGCCTGGAGGGCACTGCATCATGTTTTCTTAATTTAAGGTCACCCTAGGGGGCGCTTGTTTTCTCCATGTAAGGGTACCCTACAAAGCACTTTATCATGTTTTCTCCACTGGAAGGGCACAGGAGAGGGCACTTTATTATGTTCTATCTACCAAAGTAGTATCCAAGATGGTACTTAAGCTGTGTGTTTTCGCATTATGTCCACCAGTTGTTTGGTGGTGCCTGTCATCCTTTACAAGTTTTCATCTTATTCAGGCATTTCAATCTCAATTTAAATCCCTGACCTGGATTCATGAGTGCTGCTGTTTATAGAACAATGTGTCAAAATCAGTAAATATTGACAATTAAACCAATCTATTGTCCTCTCTTCTTTTGATTAAAAGTGGCATTTGCCCGTTGTTATCTCCCAATTTTTTCAGCTGTCCAAAACCATGCATTTACTAATGTTAAGAGAAATACAAAGATGCATTTCAAATTATAGAAGAGAGAATGTTTTGCTTGAAAAATGACTCAAATTATTTACTGATTATCAAAATAGACTTAATATAAAGTAAACAATAGAAGAAACTTGAACAGCTCAAATTGTGTTCTTCGGATGACATGTTTTGACTTTTTATACACATAGTTATCAATAATGAAAATAAAACTTAGCTGTACTTTAGTAAAGTACCTCTTAGATGTATCCATCAATCAACTCACACTCACATTTCATTCCGAATCTTCAACCCACCTACCCTTTATGTCTTTTACAATGAGAAGAAACATTGTATCTTAGAGCACCATGCATATCTAAATCGCTTGTTTGGGAGCTTTAAAGAGATCAAGGTATTCTGACAAGTAAAGTAACAACAGACAGCCTCCAACTTTGCTTACAGTTAAAGTTGATTTTCCGCCATGCTTTTCTTAAGTGTACCCTGTGCTCAGATCTCTTTGGTGTCTCGACAACAATGGAACAGATGTTGGTACATTGCATTCTGCAACTGAAAGACTTTCATATCCACTTCCTGTCGGCTTTTATTATCTGTGACATTGTAACATGTAAAACATTTAGTAGGTGCAGTCTTCAGGTAACGTACCAACTATACATTAGTCACTTCAAACACATACAGGGTACAGCTTTAACTTGTAAACGTGATATCTGCGTTTTACAGATGTGCTTTGAGGTTCCCAGTGACTGCACATGTATGTGTCACTTATCCTCATCTGCAGCCAGCAGTAAAAGCCTCCTACTGTAGTTTATGAATGCACACCTCAGATAGCCATCAGCACTGGTTATTCTTACTACTCACTGACCTCCACACACATTGTATGCCTAGAAATATTTAGCTGCAATGACCAAGAGCAGATATGTAATGGAAGAGTAATGTGTGCTGAAGAAATAGTTGCATGTGAGAGTCTGCGTCTCTGTGAACATAAGTACAAAGAAGAAGGAATAGCTCAGCGATGCGCCATATGTTGTTTTGATTCTGCAGAGTCCTACAGATGGTCAAAAATAGTGCTCCCTGTCAGAAAAACTATCACATTCAGACATCTTTTCCTCTCTGATCCAGGCCTGCAGCTTTACTTAAGTCTGAATAATTTAAGGTTTATTTTTTTTCCTTCCCTTTTTTTTTTGTTTTTCCCCCCACCGCTCTCCATCTCTCATGTTTGCAGGTTGCCGGGATTAAAGGGGTGTTCCTGTCAAATAAAGTTGTAGAGAACCAAGTGAAAACTTATATCACATACAACAAAGGCAGAGACTGGAGGCTTCTTCAGGCTCCAACCACAGATCTCCAGGGAAACAAGGTCTATTGTGAACAAGTAAGTGGGCCACTGACAAAAGATACATATTTGGATTACCATTGTGTGCCTAAGAAATACTACAACTGGATGATGCCATGCTGTGGTCAAAGAGAAAATAAATTGAATTACATTTAAACAGCTTGGACACGACACCGTTGCCATGATTTACCATACTCACTCACTATTGTGTCAAGTTTTAATAACATAAGTTATTTCAGCATAAATATCTTTAAAATACAACACTATGAAGTCATTCAATTAACCTTATGTTACTGTATTGAGTATAAATAGTTTAAGTAGCAGTGGTAGTAGTATGTATGTGAATAGCTTATTGGGGATTTTATCATAATATATCATTATATGCTGAATTGTATTACATTTTCTATAAAAATGTGTTTTGAGTGCAGTGTAGTAGCATTTTTTTAAACAAATTATATAATATATCATTTAATAAATCAAGTTAGAAGGACTATAACCGTTCATTATTCATTACAAGAGCTAATTACAGCTTCAGTCAAAACAGTTTTTCGTTTTTTTGTTCACTTTTCAAGATAAGTTCAGGTACATGGCAGCAAGTTAAACGCTTTAGTTTATCACATGCTCACAGGGTGAGACCAGGTACCAAAGGAAACAGTGTAGATAGTAGGAAAATGCATAATAATGCAGGAGCAGACACATCGGTAGACCCATTCGACAAATAAAATGTAAATTACTATAACCCTATCCAGAAGCCATTCTTAGCCATACATCATTTCTAAACAGGACCTTTTTATGAGCCCAATAAAGGTCTCGTGAAAAATGGCATCATCATACTCTCATTAGATGTTAAGCTGCAATATCGCCAACCATAATACGTGAATTTACACATTGTTATTCTTCTATATCGAGCTACCAGCATACATTACAGTATATTTCTAGTAGGAGACTTGATGGGGTATGATAATAGCTATGTAGTATTTTATGTATGGGAAAACTTTCGAACATCATTTTTTCCTTAGAAAGGTAGAGTCATAATCATGTCAGAAGTTATTATGACACCTAATATACAACAAAAACCAGGTCTGTATCAAACCTTTCAATTTCACACTTAGAGCTCAGCAAACCAATCTCCCTGTGTTTGTGTTTCCAGCCTTATTGTTCGCTACATCTCCACCTCCATGTGTCAGAGAATCCCTACACCTCGGGAAACATCGTCAGCAAAGATTCAGCTCCAGGAATAATCATCGCGTCAGGTGAGGGGATTATTGGATTTGAACATCCATACTCATGTTTCATAATGGTCCTTCCGATCTGATCCCTAAGCCCTCCCAGTCATATATGTTCTTAAACCCAGTTCCTAGTGCAGTATTTCTGTATGTAGCCGACACTAGTTTACAAAATAAGATGAAATTAATCCTTGCTGTACATCTGTTACATGCTAATACTGTGGAAATAATAATCCCCCAAATGTGTCTGAATAAATACTCAAATAACAATAGAGTAACTACAGTATACTGAACATGGTCCTTTCTACCTTTTGTATTCAGGTGTTGTCGGACCAGAGCTGACCAGTAATAATATCAGTATTTTCATCACATCGGATGCTGGGAACAGCTGGAGAGAGGTACAGCTTTCTTCACCAATACTTTCTGGATACATTTATTTTCTCAATTGCCTCAGTGTGATCCAGAAAAAAAATAAAAATATGACCTTGTCAGGCATGATCTAAACAAAGAATATGAGTGTGACTGAGCTTTCAGAGCAAACACTCGCTTCTCAGTTCTCAGTGAAACAGCCACACTTGCAAAGACATAAAGAATTGAGGTTTGACGCCGAGTGAAGACATGTGCATCTCTGATCTGTGGAACAAATAAACCAAAATAAATGTCGACAGATCTTTATTTTGCCATCGGCTGAAGACAACAAAAATCAACAAAGAAAGCAAGACTTTGTAACTTTTGTTTATCACACAACTGGGATTATTGTGTAAAGAACGGTTGTGGTTTGCACTTGTTTGGTGTGTAGTTGTTAGTATACATGTTCCTCATGTTGCCATAGGTGCACACTTTCTGCAGACTTAAATTCTTCTCTGCTGTGATAAAGTGAAGCTGGTCCTGTCTGCAGCTTTTTTATTTCTTTTATTTGTTATACTCATAGGTTTTTCAGGAAGAATACAGCTTGTTTTTCCTGAATCAAGGGGGATCTCTGGTGGCCATCCGGCACACACCGCTGCCAATTAGACACATTTGGTAAGTCTCTCCAAGGGCGTACCGCATTCTTTTTTAGAGACTGTACTAAATCTTCAAAACAAGGAGTTAGACTGCTTCCCTGCAGAGATTTTCTTACTGTTTGTGGCTGGTCTGTCTGTGATCCAACCATTGTTCTTTCCCTCAGGCTGAGTTTTGATGAGGGCAGAAACTGGGACAAATATAGCTTCACCTCCTCTCCGCTGTATGTTGACGGGGTGCTGGGGGAGCCTGGGGAGGACACCCTCATAATGACGTAAGATAAGAAGAAACCACAGAGACCTGACGTGTTTCTGGTTTAATTATTGCACTGGGTAATAACATATTACCCCAATGAAGACTTAGTAGTGTACATAAATATTCTATTCTAGAGTCTATTTAATGTGGGTTTGAAAGGGTTTCATAAGCCCAAAATGCGGAGGAGTTTCTCTACCCACAGAGGAATATGGATTAAAGCTGTTGCCTTCAAATTACCCATAGAGGAGTTGAGGTTGTTTTTTTTCTACCAAATGTTTTTGATATTGTATATTTTGCTTGTTTGTGCAGAATCTTTGGTCATTTTAGCCATCGATCTGAGTGGCAACTTGTCAAAATTGACTTCCAGTCCATTTTTCAACACCGCTGCACATCTGAAGATTACATGACATGGCAGTTACACAATGAGGTAAGAGGGTCTTGCTGTTACTGGCTGATCAAACCCAAGTGAATCTCTTTGATTCACTCACACAATAAAAGCAAGATGGTACAAGACAAAAAAAAGGCGAAAGGAGCCTCTGAAATGTTTATGATGCATTATTTATCACAGGGCAAAGTGTGCATCATGGGAATGAAGAGAATCTTCCAAAAACTGAAAGCAAACGTTCGATGTGTCAAGACCAGAAATCAGTATATTTCCCAGATGTCAGACTCCTGCCCGTGCACAGAGGCAGATTTTGAGTGGTGAGTTTCCTACTCTGTAGCTGCACTACTCCTTACACTTCATTACATCCAACGCACAACACATTATCAATCTCCAGAGGCAGAGTCTGTGAAGCTCTCTAGGCACAACAAGAGGAGTGTTTGAAGAGATATATTTTAGGATTTACAACTTTTTATCTTACTGTCCACTTAGGATTGCAAGTGTGTAATATGACTTAAGAAACATGCAATCAGTTGTCTGCTAGGCATGGATAATGTTTATATACGATTATGGTTGCAATCAATATGCCAAAACAGATTTTCTTTTGAAATTTGAATTTAATATTCATCCCAATATGGATTAAATAATCAAACTGATGTTTTTAATGCTGTGTACTGTATAATCATATCGTCAATTTATCTGGCAGAAGTTGACTGGAAGTATTAAAGCTCAGCATTAACAGTCAAGTATGTGATAGCAGTACATTTCTGCATCGTTCAAGTTCTCTTATATATCCATAATGAATAAAACTATTGCCTGATGCTCAAGTCTATTATTATATGTCTAACAAGTGTCACTTCCAGTCAGTACTTCTTGTAATCCCACACCCTTGACTCTATCTCGTACTTTCTTTCATTGGAAAATGAACAGCCGCTTCTAGTTTATTAACAAGGCTGAACACCACTTTAATACTAAAAGCCTTATTTAAACTTTCCAACTCGTTCTCCTGAGACTGTTTCCCTGATCAACATGACAGATCCATTGGATTTTTCTCAAAGTATAATTATAGTTTTTGTAAACACGCACTACTTTCTCTGCTTCAGAAGTTTGATACATAAAACATCACATCTCAAATACTCTGAGCGGCTGTGAAAAGTTTTACTCGATCTTTGAACACCTTTATTCTCAGTAGGGATGCAGTTATTTAGTTTTATTCTTTTTGAGCTGAGTAATTCTATTTGATATTTTAAATGAATGATAACTACTCCCGATAACTCCTCGTGTATTGTGTTCTGTACTTGTTGTTCCGACTGAAACAGCGACTACGGGTTTGAGAGGCAGATTGACGGGCGCTGCACTCCGGCGTTCTGGTTCGTTCCTTCAGCAACATCTAGAGACTGCATCAGGGGGGAGAGCTTCCTCAACACCACAGGGTACACTTTATTCCTTCTTACTGACTCGAGCAAGGGGAGTAGCGATGTCAAATTGTCCTTGGTTACTTTCAAACTCAACCTGCTATTTTGTATTTCAAAGGTCACCTACAGTATTAGGCAAAATCCACCTTTTCATGTCTATTATACATCAACATGTGTCCCCTCTGTGTAAAGAGATTCTGAAAGTTTCAGGAACAAAGACACCCTCTCTTTTTGTCCTGATCCATTTATATAAAAACCTCTGAAAATGAGCTGATCAGATTTTGGCCACTTTGTGATGTCATAATGTTTTTTTGGGTTGTGTAACCATTAGCCAATAACCAACCAAGGTAACCCCCCCCCCACCTTATCACCTGAATCTCCTCCTAGAGCACTATTGTGTTCTTTTTAACCAAATATCTCTCAGAGGGGCGTGGGGAGTGGCTCCTTATTTTCATCTAAAGTAACAGACACAGAAGCAGCCCTTTTGAAACAGGGCTGAAACAGAGAGGGTTATGGGATGCTACAATGCGTGATCTGTTTGGTATTTCAGCCAAACACTTCAGTGACATGTTTGTATATAACTGAGGAGATTCAAAAGATTCAAGATTCAAAGGTTTTATTGTCATAATGCACAAAGCTACAGTGTAGAAATGGCAATGACATTCTTCTGACCTGAGCTCCTTCAACAATGCAACATATATAATAGAACTATAATATATTGATGGAAATGAGTATAATAGGGGACCTTTGATTTAAAACACTATCAATTATAAATACTTAAAGGTGGGGTAGGTAATTATGGAGAAACCAGCTTGAATGCGCTAGAATTTGAAAATACACAACCGGAAAAAATCTGCCACTTCCTTACAGAGCCCCTCCTCCGACACACACGAACGCGCACATGACCAATGAGGGCACGAGATAAGTTTGTGCACAGATGGAAGGCTGACAGGCAGGTAGGCCATCCAGTTATTTTAGCCGAGCCGGCTAAAATGATTGGTCGTGCTTTTTACAGTACTACGGCTTCCACAGATGACATTTTTTTATGGATTTTTTGTCAAAGCACTTAAGATATTCATTGCTATCGGGATGTTAAGAGCATTCCATGGAATATAACAAAAAGTGTATCTCGAGCCAGTTTCTCAAACTTACCTACCCCACCTTTAACTTATAAATGGAAGGAGGAAAAATAGAAAACATACAGGTTAACAAATTATGAGGCTGTTCTTTAGGATATTTATTGCCAAAACAACCATTGAACTACAAGCCATAACAAGTTGATTGCACCTGAACACCACATGCTGCAATTGATAGTGCTTGTAAACTAGTTGGCAATCGAGTAGTGAAGTCAATGTAGTTAAAATGTAATGGACAGATAGTTAAAAACGTCAACATTTTTAACGACAGCTATATTTTGTATGCTAAGAATATTGTAACAATATACTTGTATTTGTAATAGTGTTAACTAACATCTGTTACAAATTTACACGGTTTTAACTGATGGCTGGTGTTAATAAAAGCGAATTGAGCTCATCTGATGGAGCGTAGGGGGAATGGTAGACTAAGGAGGTGGTGGTTTGTCTCTTTTGAATGTCTCCCCTGTATACATCTGCTTTTACACACATCCACACACAGTTATATATTTTTGTGTCGCTTATTTGTGTCCTTTGTGGGTCTTTAATGAATTGTAGATACCGCAGGGGTTTGTCTAACAACTGCACAGAGGGGACGCTGTTGAAGTACAGCCCCAGGCGACAGAAGTGTCCCAGCCATGCCCCCCGGGGCCTCCAGCTATTCACCAGCGAGGGAACACTGGTAGCATCGCTGGAGAGGAATGTCACTTTCTTGGTCTTTCTGGAAGAGGTGCTGACTTTACTTTATCGAAGCAACAGTAGTGTGTGTATTACAGTTCTAGGCTGCATGCTTTTTCTTCAGTCTTTTATCTTTGTATCACGATGCTGTCAGAGACATAGTGCAGAGGCTGGAGCTCCAGCTTGTCAAATAAATGTGCGGCGACATGATTAACCGCTTGACCTCGTTTTTGTATATATTCTTGTATATATTATGGAAAATGCACTCTGCTATGTGTCGCTGTGGCTACACTGAGGCTAAAGTGTGAGTGACAGTATTTTGTTTTCTTTTTGAAGGGTCTCGGCTCCATGACAAGTGTAACGGTGGACTTTGGCGACGGGACAGCTATATCATATGTTAACATCAGCTCCATCGATGACGGGGTCAAACACATCTACAGCAGAGTTGGCATCTACCAAGTTTCTGCAACAGCAGGCAACTCTCTGGGCTTTGACAGGGTCCTACTCTTCCTCCATGTCACCTGTAAGTCAAATCACTGGTAACTGGTTCCAATGATTTTTGAATGTAAATCCTTGCCCTTTTTCATCCAGAATACTCTTTGAGTTAATGTCTATCTGAATGTATTCACTTGCATAGTACCCTTTTAATTTACCTCATCACATGATAAGGTGAACTTGTTAAGAAATAACCTCATTTTACTTAAGTGACTACACCAGGGCTATTCAATTAGTTTGGAATGGGGGCCGGTTGATGAAAATGATCCAAAGCAAGGGGCCGGGAAAAAGATGGCTTGAAATATGAGCAATCATATTTAAGAGCTTCAGATACAGTAAATACTACAACAGCATAGTGGAGTGCATATATTGTGTTTAATTCAATCAAACAACATAGCCCCAAGGCCTTTATAGATCTAAATGGCAAGTTCAGAACTCAGTAGGCCTACATGTTTCATTTGATTTCATTTAGGTGAAATGATCTAATCATTCACGCAGAGATGCAATCAATGACAGGAGTTGTCACTACAGTATAGTAGGTGGGTTCGAAACCCGAGCCCGTCGAAGTTTTCAGGCATTGTCTACCCCTCTATCTCTCAATGTAACACCCTCTCTGGAATAAAGGCACTATGGCAAAAAAAAAAAAAAAAAAAAAAAAATCTTAAAAAAAAAAAATTGATGACTTTTTAACATTATACTCAAAGGGCCAGTAAATATCACCCCGGGGCCGGATTTGGCCCGCGGGCCGCCAATTGAATAGCCCTGGACTACACCATAAACTAAGTCTCAATCATTTCTCATGACTTATCATGAACTATAAGATACTTCAAATAGGTAAAACTTCTAGACTTGTGTGCCTTTTACAAAGCAAAAATAATTTGAACACCTGAGCCAACATGCTCTTGACTCTTGTAACTTCAAATTGGCTCATTAAAGGAAACTACATTCAATATCTCTACAGAAAGTTTGGAGTGTCACTCACCCTGTGTAGGCGTGAAAGATGGCTGTTTGTTGTCTCCTTGTTGAAAGAGAGGAGCAGCTGTGGTCAGTTCGAGTTCTGCTCATTATAATGGATTCCAAGGGTGACATTTTCAAGGACGTTAAGCATTGAAAGCCTCCACAGACACTTGTCAAATACTCCTGCATTAAATCAGAAAGAGTCCACTCAGTGTGTTGCAGGCCATCATTATTGTGGCAAAATCCATGGCTTCCGTTGCAACTTTGATAGTTGTTTAGCCATATTTAATCAAAAGATGTTGATCCATAGTGTTTTTGTTTTCTCTCTTAAGGTCAACTCGAACAGATTCAGCTCTTGGCTCCTTCAGTGGTCGTCAAGAACAAAGCGATAAACCTCACGACGGTGTTACGGCCCAGCAATGTGGGAACAGTCAGCTATTACTGGTGGTTTAATAACAAAACAGAGGTAAGCCTTTATTTTTCATTCTCTACCACGCAGCCTATTTCCTGAATGACATGATAGATTCTCAAGTCGCAGTACATCTTCCTCTCTCTCTGACTCTCTCTGACTCTCTGTCTTTCAGCCTGTTGTGACTCTGGATGGAACGATGTCCTTCACTTTCTCCAAGGAGGGAAGTCACACTGTCACCGTTCAGGCTTCAGTCGGCAATACTGTTCGACAGGACCAAATGACTGTGGCCGTTTATGGTAAACTCAATACAAAGTACACATCCTCTTAATATAATTACAAAGTGAAAACGATGAAGTCAATGATGCATGCATCCATTGAGAGTGGATTGAAACATGTTTTTCAATCTTCAAAGCCTTTTGACGTGAAAAAAAGAAGCCTTTCACAAGGTCTGCTTACTGATTTTCCCGAGCTTTCGTGGCCTTCATCAGCGGTTTAATTATTATTACACGAGCTAAAACTATGGCATTTGACCTCATCATATCAGCTGGTTGTACTGTATGTGGATTTAATTAACTCAAAATCGCTGATGAAGGCCATGACACGTTAAAAAGCAATTTGGTAGATCTTCTAAAATGAATGATTTTTAATAAGAAGCTGATTCCAAGTGTAAGCATAGTCCAAGGTCAACACGTTCATGCATTTGTTACTTTCTTTTACATTCTAAACATTATTTTACTTTCCGTGTCTATTATATATTTATATACATATATATATATGTCTTACATATGGAGCTATTATATCTGTAGTAGTGAATAAATACATTGAACATTCAAAATAACAGCACATGTATCATGGAAATGATGCAACGTTTTTTAACTTTAATGCCTCTATATATATTTGTTGCAGTTTTAAATTCTTTAAAATGTTCCACAAATTGAAATTGGTTAAAATCATTGAGGCTTCTCTTATATGTTTAAGAAGACGTTGGATATTAAGTATCTATTGAAAACAATGCATTTTCTAACTGCCGGTAGTTATAAATTAATATGTTTTATTATAGGAACCCAACTGTCTTGTCTTGTGGTGTCTATTAAACAAAGTTATTGAATTAGTGATGGATAATGATGCATTGCGTGCACATAAATAAAAAACCACAAACCAAATATTAATGCAAGAAATCCTTTTGCTTCTTACCACGCCAAGATAGAAATGTCATCATACATCTCATGCACCTTTCAGGGGTATAATATGTAAAACCCTATAAACATTTCTGAACCTTGAGACAGAAATAAGTTCAGTTCTCTTCGTCAATTTGCAGTTTGGCAATCACATTACCATTTAAGCCTAGCCTAAATTATTTGTAAGGAATATACAGAGTGAGTACAGTACTCAGTAGTCATTTGAAGTGTCTCAAGTGGATTAGTTCAACAGAAGATATACATTGTTCTTCATCTCAAATTCTTTCTCACTTTCAGATTATTTCCGGTCCCACATTTTGGGCTTTTCTTCTTATTTGGACGAGCTGAACCCCGGGGTGTCAGAGTGGAGAGAGGACATCAGCCGAGTGGTGAAGAACTCCATGGTCCAGGTCAGATCTTCAGCTGCTAGCTTTTATTATAAAGACTGTAATTCAGTCAGGACTTAACCCTTCATTCGAGAAATACTTAAAGGGGACCTATCATGCAAAATGCACTTTTGTACGTCTTTTATACATGAATATGTGTCCCCGGTGTTCCAGGGAACTCACCAAGTGTCAGAAAACACAACCCTCTCTATTTTCCTCCATACCCAAATCTCTAAAAAAGGGGCTGCAACGGATCTGATAAAAACTGATCCAGATTTGAACACTGTCCTGACGTCAGGACAGTGGCGCTACGGCTATTGGGCCAACTCCACCAATCAGGAGGAGACAGCCACGGCCATTGCCGTTCGAAAGTGCTGGAGACGCTGTAGTACATATGCCAGGCCTGTAGATGGTGCTGTTCTCACTGAATCTGCCCTTGCAAAAATAGAGCTAAAAAATGTCAAATTGAGCAAAATGAGGCATGGCTAAAATGCATGATCTGTTTGGTATTTTGAAAAAAGAAAAGTATAAATATGCCTTATATAGGTCTGGTCCTACACTATATTATTCAAATATAGCATGATAGGTCCACTTTAAGTCTTGTCATGTGAGCCAATGACCTTTCCATTCTCGGTTATGCTGCGTTTGTATTGCATACCAGCACCGGGCTTCTTTCAATGTCTTTAACCTCACTTTCTGTGTAATTAGTTGTTAACCTCTCCTCGCTGACATGCCACATCACCTGAAATGATTATTAGCAGTGCAAGCTTTCAACTGAACCCGTCAAAAAACTAAAGGGCAGTTAAAGCACCACTGTGACTGAATGCCATTGCCTGGAGAGAACACCAAAACCTCAAGTTCAAATAGCCTATCTGCGGTTAGAGAGTCTGGTTTCCCCTTCTCAGACACTGTCAGGATGTCAAAAAGGCAGCAGGTTATGTAAAAGACCTGGATACTGAGCTCTATATATATATCCTACAGTAGCCCTCAGTATGAAACATTCACTTTGACCTTCTGTCTTGTCAGATATTACCATGCTTTACACCAGGAAGCTGACAGCAGACCTCTGGTTATGGCATAAATGCACTAAAAGCCCTGGCCTTTACCAAAGACTGTCAAATTAAACTTGCATGTTTCGTTTGATCCGTGCATTATATCTTGACAGTGACTGGTACTTAGGCAAATGATATATGAAGCTGAGAGCTAGCCGTTTTGACTCAATGACACAGGGCACACAAAGCATAGAATATCACCTCAAACACTGTCAATTAAAAAAGCTTTTTAAGGAGGTTTTGTTGTTTTTATTAAAGGTCACGGGAATCAACAAGGAACAGCTCCTGGTCACAGTGCTCCCTGGTTTACCAACAACAGCAGAGATTTTCATCCTGCCCGAGAAGAGGCCAAGAGTCGGAGGCATGGATGAAAAGTGGGCTCATCTGGATCAGGTACTGTGTCATTAAACCATTCAAACAGCCGCTGGCATATGCTCGCTACAATATACATCTGCAATAGACAAAATCAAATATATCTCAACTGAATGTAACGTCTTGCGTGGGTTAATATGTGCTGCTCAATATGTACAGAAGCACATGACCTATGTAAAAGGTTACACCATATAGCCATAAATACATACATACGTATTTTGCATATTTGTTCACATCGTGGGCTTGAAACCAAAGTCAATTTCTACTTCATCTCATCAGCACTTGTAGTCCAGTTTTCCTTTGTTGGAGGTTTTGCCTGCAGCCAATTTGTGTGATAGCTTTGCTTGTAGCCAAAAGTATCCTGTGCCATTATTTCATCCAGAATTTCATCCTGGTATAATGCAACAAAAGAGCCATCATCCTCTATTCATCATCTCCGTTGCAATCTCTTGCCAATGTAAAAAAGTTGATTTCAGTTGTGTCTTTCCTTCATATTACTGCAATCATCCTCAATCAATCTCCAATTTCTGTTTGACATTGACGGTAAAGTAGTTTGGGGAGTTTTGTGTTCCATCATATACTTGTATCTTTGAAATTAGATGTTTTATTGTTTTAAATCGTATATGCTTCGATGAATACGTTCAAATTAGATCCGCTGTCCTTGGTGGATACTTGAATCCTTTTTCCTCTCAGGCAGCCATTGGTTTTCTATACATTTGAGCCTTCAACGAAAATCAACTTGTAGAAACTTAAAATTTGATTTAGGTGAGGCAATATATCACAATGAGCATCATGTCTGCATTTATCTGTGTCAAAGTTACATTATTTTGCATTCTAACACAGTTTTAAGTGCAGCTTTATTTGGAAAGTCTGCACTCTGTCCCCGCGTAACAATAAGGTTACGTTTGACAAAAATAAATGCAGACATGATGCTCATTGTGATGGATTACCGAAGTCAGCCAAGTTTAAAGTCTCTGCAAATGTATTTTCATACCACGGTGAAATGATTGGACACCACTGGCTGCATGGTAGGTAGGGGAAACACTATGTTATTCCTCGGAAAAGGTCAGCGTTAATGAAGAGTGTACATTTTTTGTAGTAATTGGGGTAAAAGATGTGGAAAAACTCTGGTGTGGTTCATTAAGGGAAAACACGCAGAGAACAAGAGGAATATTTTTCTATAGATGGCACATAAAACCCGTTTCATCTCATATTTCTTCATAGGACATAATTAGGTTTAAGATTAAACCCCTTTTGATTCCCTGCAGAATTATTCACTTAAAGTACTTCTTCTCAAGCACTGCATTTGTGTTTTTATATTGCAACACAAATTAGATTTATATAATTTAAATATTTTGTACTTCACTAATTGAATCACAGACAATCAATGTTTTAATGTTCCCACACATTTTGTTTTCAATTCCTAATAAAGGGGTAATACATCATGTCAACACTAGAGGGCAATGTCTTCCCGTGTAAAAGCAATGAAACAGCACTGAAATGAAATTCACTAAGCATCTCCAAACATGCTGTAACCTCACTGCCACCCTTTAGAAGTTTGGAAATTGCTCAAACCTTTAGACAATAACAATCCCATCATTATTTAAATCCCTCTAATGGCTCTAATTATTGTCTTACGACAAAAACATATTATTTAAAAACTAATCTCTCTCATGTTATGGATAGCTATTAAATACGTGACAAAACAACAAAACCGTGCTGTTTTTAAAGCTTCAGCTGATCCAAAACTCATTTATTCCTCATAACAGAGAGGACCTCAATGTTTCAAAAATAAACATAATTTTGCTGGCTAACGGTCTTCAACTAAGTTAATAGGTATTTAATTACATTGATGCATCATATAATTGGCAGCTTTGAGAAAGGAAACAAACTGGGGCAGGCGGCCTGGATTGGGAATTAAAGAGATGTATTTATCTAAAGCCTGTCTGATTACCTGGCAGAAGCTCACAGACAATAGGGTAATAAATCTTCAGTTCACCGCTCTCATCTCCAGTGAATGACTTGCAATGTGGATGCATTAAGTCAGCGTGTGCCCACACATACATGTGGTGAGTGTATGTGTGGAGCAGCTTATTAAAATGTGTAATAGATTTACTGACCCTGATATGCCACTAGAACAAAAAGTAATTATTCATAGTGCAGTCTAATTTTAACCAGTGGAAAGATTTTAGAAAGAGCGAGATGGAATTAGTGAGGCATGGCTAAGGACTCAAATGGGCTCCGGGAAGGCAGTTTGGTCCCCTGTTAAATGACTGCTTCATCTAGGTGTGAAAAGCAGCGGGAACTTAAGGCACTTCAGGGAAAAAAATTAAAACAGCTATTTTATGATATAAGAACATACTTTGCTTTCCAATGGCTTTGCCTACGTGAACTTTAAAATCATTAAATCCTTTCGCCCTGAAAACAGGTTTACTGAAAAAAACAGACGAGAAATTCCATTTCGATCAAAAAAGCACAAGATTTTACTCTTTTACTCATTTTCTCTTTTTCTTTTCAAATGTCACTGTCACACCGTAAGCAGGCTGTCCTTTTACCTGATAGGGTTTCCATCGCCATTAACAGAGTGCCGTGTTTCGCTGCAGCAGGTTTGGTTTTCCTTGTGTCATATCAACGTTTGCTCTTCTTTTAAAAGGAAGCAAAAATTGTGATTCATAATTCAGGGTGTTAGATGAAATGACTGTGTTTGAAATATTGATGACTGTAGAATATTGCTGTGCAGCCGCTGCTAACCGAGTCTTCTCTGCTCCATCACTCCTCCTCATAGCTTTCTCAGGTTCTGCTAAGTGCTCTGAACCAAGACCTCATCCAGTTCACACTCAAGCCGGGGGTGCAGGTGAACGTGTACGCCACACAGCTGTCTCCAGGTGAGGCTGCTCCTCTGCCACACACCTACTGAACAAATCCAGTCCTTTTTTGGGAGAGAAGTGCAGTTCAGGTGCTTGTCTCTCGGTAATGTAAGGCCAGACCTTCCAATTTGGAGGTGAAGATGACTTGGAAGTCTAGCAATAATTAAACAAATGGTGAATTGGTAAAAAGATGATAACTTAAATACATTCAAAATGGAAGAGTCTTGTAAATGAAAAATGAAAAGAGAAACCATGAGAATTAGAAATCAAGTTGATATATTTCATGCTAGATGGTAAAAATAGTTGAGATATAAATTACAAAACATTATTAATGACCCTCCGGTTGGATGTGAGAATTAATGTATGTAAGAGTATTAATGGTGCATCCCTTATCTGTTATATTCTATAAATTATTATTCATCTTTTATTTTGGGTTCCTTTTTTTTGTATTCCTATTTTTCTGTCTTGTGTATAGGTAGTTATTTAATACATTGTAATGTATCATTCTGTTATGTATACCCTGTAACCTGTGTACAATTTCTTAAAATGTAAATGTATAAAAGAAATCTACTCTGGAACAAACTAGTCTACATGTTCTCAGATGTAAACCTTAAAGGTGGGGTAGGTACGTTTGAGAAACCGGCTCGAGATACACTTCTTGTTATATTCCATGGAATGCTTTTAACATCCCGATAGCAATGAATATCTTAAGTGCTTTGACAAAAAATCCATAAAAAAATGTCATCTGTGGAAGCCGTGGTACTGTAAAAAGCACGACCAATCATCTGAGCCAGCCCGGCTAAAATAACTGGATGGCCTACCTGCCTGTCAGCTTTCCATCTGTGCACAAACTTATCTCATGCCCTCATTGGTCATGTGCGCGTTCGTGTGTGTTGGAGGAGGGGCTCTGTAAGGAAGTGGCAGATTTTTTCCGGCTGTGTATTTTCAAATTCTAGCGCACTCGAGCTGGTTTCTCCAAAATTACCTACCCCACCTTTAAGATGGCCTGTATTATTGGTGTATTACTTATTTTTAATATATCCATGGAGAGCAGTGTTAATAGTGAGTAGATTATTCTTGATAAAGTATATTTAACTATCAATAAAAAAAGGAAGTGTTTATTGGACATATCTCTGAGTCCCTATAGTCTCTCACATGGTCAGCATTACAACTGAGCTCTGATACTCCATTGTTGTATTATTTGTATTCCTATGAGATCAGAAATGAGATCAGTTGGCCTTCATGTGCACTCAATTTCTCTTTCATTCTTTCTCCTTGAAAGCTCCTCTTGTGGACAGCAGTGATAGCGGCCACAGCAGCACTGCAGTCATCATGCTCGTGTCAGTCGTTCTGATGGGCCTGGCTGTCTTTCTTATATATAAATTTAAAAGGTACAGTATACGGGATATCATAACCATATAAAAAGCACTGGAAAACTGTGTGAGAAAATGTGTGCAGATCCATTCTCAGGTTTGCAGACTCGCATCATTACAGAGATATCTACGTTAAGATAGATGTTATTGTTTGGTGTGTGTGTGCGTGTGTGTTTACATAACGACCCTTTTTCAGAGTCGGCCCCATTACCCACAAGCAAACACCTCGCTGCTGAACTCCTAAAAGTTTCCAGAAGTATTCCGACTCCATATATCTCAGAGTTATGGACACGGGCGTCACAATAATGGCTCTAGGAATAAGACAATTCCCCTCTGTCTCAATCTGCGGAATATTACAGGGAATGACAGTCTAATCAATTCTCCCAGAGTGCTGAATGGGTGTCAGAGTCCTGCAGTTATCAATATTCATCTATCTGACAATGTGAGGGTTGACCTTTCGGGAAATGCTAAACACAGCCATCCAAGGTGAGGCACACTCTGCAGAATGGCAGGAAAGGTTGAGGAGATAAGCCCTGAGACAACGTACATTATACAGTGAGGGACGTACAGTAAATAGCATCCTCTGCAGCAGCTAATCCCGTGCCAATCACAGGGCTGATTTAGGGCCATTGTAGATGTTGAAGAATTGTCCTCATTACAAATTAAAACATTACTTAACTCTAACTTTCAAGATCCTTATTACTAAATGAAGGAAATCAACTTTTACTTTCTAAAGCTGCCTGAAATGTCACAGCTGCGGCAGAAAATCACGAGGGGCGCCTGTGAAATTAGAAAAGGCAAGATGTTAGTTTTAAGCAGAATTGGGGGTGCATCTGAGGGGGATGAAAAATTGATTGAAAATGGAGGTGAACAATATGAAAGTGAGGGAGCAATGCCCAGTGGAATGTGAAATGCCCTAGTTTCCAGCTTTCAAGCAATCCTCTCCCATCCTTAACAGTTAAAAATAGTGTGTGACACATTATGCTTAGTGCGAGCATTAGAGAAACAGACCTGGTGGCGGGTTTCCATTTGCTTGCCTCTTATATATATATATCTCTCTCTTTTCTTTTTTCTTACCCCATGGCATGACCTACAGGAAGATCCCGGGCATCAACACTTACACAGCGGAGCAGCCTGACAAAGAACAAGAGGTCATCCCCACGGTAACCTCCATCGCCATCCCAAACCCTGAGGGGGACCAGCTGACCTCCCTGGATCGGGTGGATGTACAGCTGGATTCAAAAGGCAGAGGTATTCGTTTGTCTTCCTTTAGGCTACAGTCATCCCTCAAGAATATTTAGCGTTTATCACACAGTTATTTTCAGATTCTCATGTTGGCAAATGAGGGTCTTTTCCTCTAAGCGGTGTTTTATTCTATCACTTGATAAATTCATTTGGTGATATGTCTGTGGTATAACTCAACAAATGTTGGTTTGTTGTTCATATCAAAAGCAGAATAAACTAAACGGTAAAATTGTCCTTAAGAAAAAAACCACTTGGTTTTTATATGCAAAACTTTTGAGATATCCAACTATTTCTCAAGTATTAAATTGTTCCTATAAAACAATTAATTACAACAACTATGAAGAGCAAAGCACTAAAGGTACGGTACAGTTATATACTGTATTACACACCCTAAAAGCACAATTATATTATAATTGAACAACTGCATCACTTCACTTGAAGCCCATAATGTGCATGTGAGGAAAAGAAGAAAACCCTTCCTGAGCATTTCTTTAAACTTGTGGAGTCATTATTCTTGTTAATTAGCACAGAAGACTTCAGTTGGCTATCAAAATACAAAACATTTAAGCTTGCCAGTTTCTAAAGAAAGCCTTGGAGACAGAGAGCCCGTAACCAGGATCAACTTTAAATCTTTTAAAATGTCTTTACTTTTCTCTGTGATCATGTGTATAGCTTTTCTGCAGTTTAACACATACACATATGTTATTTAAGAGTACATAAATGTATCCAGAAGTGTGATATGTTCAAAAGTTGGCAGTGTCTTGTTACCCCATGTGGGATAGGCAAAATGGTTGGCATGGCATAGAAATAAAAACAAACTACCTGGCAATGTGCAATCAGCATTTTCTGTTCAAATGAACTCTTATCAACTTGAGCATTGCTCTCATAAACCTCTCACAGTTTGATGATTACTCAGAAAATGCTCATTACCAAACCGAAATGGTGACACTGCCTCCTTGTTTAGGGGCGGCTAATGTGACCACACTTAACCTGAGAATAGTTTCTGAATAGACTTGTTGCTGTTGCATTTTTAAAATGTAATTATTTTGTGCAATAAGCCCCACAAACATTTAACTCACATCGTTGCTTGAGGTTTTAATCACAGAAACGGATATCCCACAACCTCATTGCATAGAACAATAATCTAGTTATACATACATTTAAGGCACATAACACAAGGGTTAACAGGAAACAGGTTTATTGTGAAATGATTATTTTTATAGCAGTAAAGTTTTCACCAAAGTTGTGTTACAAAATGCAGTGACACGAAAAAGATACTTGATATTCACCCATTGTAAGTGCTGATGCTACACCCCCTCCCTTTATTACCATAAAGGAGGTGCCAAGATATAGTTGTTATTATTATGTGCGGTATATTTATGTATTTGCCAACCTGAGTTTGTCACAGCAAGGCATTAGTATTCACAGGTAAGTGAAGCATAATCAATTGCGAGCTAAAGTGATGAGAATGTCTAGGTGAATTATTTGACCCAATAAAATAATTAGTGCATCAGGAAAGTAGCGGAGTGGTGAAAGCATTTTCATCAAGAAATATCTACGAGGTTCCAGTTGATTTACTTCTAAACAATCGACCCATCCAAGATAAATGTGTTTGTCTACAAAAATACAGCCGTATGCAAATGGGGAAACATAAAATTCCACCTGTCTCTTTCCTTTCTTCTCCCTTGTCAGGCTACCTGCCATCTCACACAGACATCAAGCTCTCTGATGAAGCGCCCCATGTGTTTTAATGTTGAGAGTCTATGACCAACTCGAAAGCAATACATCTTCCTTGGCAGTTACTTCCAGCAAGCTATGAAACCACGGTCACAATGAATGCTCCCGAGTGTTTTGCTACCCATGCATGGATGGACCAGTTCACACTGTGCTGCCTAATCCCTCGGAGGAAACTGTACAGATTTATACTTGCTTCTTGAAAAGGGACACTTTTTGACTGAACATACTTGTATTTTTGCAAGGACATTGATCTTTTTATGTAAATAATGTACATCCATAATGGAAATGGTAAAAACTATTTGTCTCAGCTGGTTACAGCTGCATCTGCTCCAATATGAAAATATAAAACGGCGGTACAGAAGTGATGTATAATAATATGTGAAAAAAATTATCCTATTTCTGTTCTCTGGGCTTGTGTTTGTGAAGTTTACTTTGTTTGACTATGTGGAAACAGCTTATCTGAGTAAGACAGTGAGGGAAGCAGATTCATTAAGCTCTGTACAATCAGTACATCTTATCACCAGATTCTCATCAAATGAAAGCTTGCAATATCCAGGAGATGGAGGGCTCCAAGTCCCAGATCTGTGTATTCCATCAAGCCTGTCTCTTTGCAGCTCAACATGTTTTATATGTCATAACAAAAATAAGAACAGAAGATGAAAGTGGATAAACTAGATAGGTATATACAGTAGGTGGGGAACTAAGCAATGCCTCTTGTTTAGGAGACTCACATAAGTCATTTTAGTGACACTGGAATGAATGCTAACATGATAAATGTGGAACCTACTTAAAACCTGATTATACACAGATCTGTCTAAATCATGCTCATGGTTATTTTGCAGCTGCATCCTATACGTGACTGTTTTACTGTCAATTTGGCTGTAAATCAGTGCGATTACTTTTAAACTTGTGATTCCTTACTTATTCGTTGCCCAGAGCTTTTCTTGTACATTCTGGTTTCCATAGAAAACTAAATGTAAATGTTCTGAATAATTCCCATGTTAACCAAGAAGCTAAAGTACAGCAACACATGCTGCAATGCAGTAAGGAAGATGCTACATCTGAATTTTCTTTAGTAATTACAGTAGTCAATGATGTATTAGCTATTTGTTTGTGTTTGAGTTCAAAGACATGTTCTCCTTGACACAGTTACAAAATGATTCCCATGTTTTTGTTGTTCCTTTGAACTGATCCCAGTGTGAAGGTTGTGGTGCCTTCTCACAGACAACTCTAAAACAACACCAGGGTTTAAATGGAGAAATATCCTCTCATCTTTACACCTTCTTATTTATTCTGGACTGTTTATCTACCACACTGATACCAGCATCCCCACTTCGCATTTCCTCGGTTAACAGGAACGCAGAGGAGCCTGCAGTCTGTTCTAGGTTTACCCCCAAGGACTCGGCGGACAAAAGGCTGCAGATTTGTTCCTTTTCTTTGCTGCGAGGGACACAGAGATAGAGAAGACGTATCTCCTGTCAACAAGGCTCAGCCTACGCACAGAGCCTTGGTCAGACGCTGTCTCTTTGGGATAAGTACTGAAGTTCTTCTTCATCAAACTTTTCTTTTTAAATGTTGTCAGCATCATATGTCAGTAAGACAAATTGACTAGAGGCTTCTCCATACTTCTTCCCTCCCATCCTGCGATTGAGCCTGAAGCATAAATAAACTCTTAACTCGTCATCGGGCGAACGCTGTCTCTCCACACCATCAGTTTTTCATATTTATTTAACAAACCTTTTGTACATTCCCAATGATTAAACTGTGAATACGATTGTAAACAGAATTGCATGATGTTTTTTTTGTTTTCCTCCAAGATATTTCAAATGTGTTTTAATTAGGCAGAAAACTGACTTGTTAGGAATGTGAACTGCAGTGTGTTTTCCGTTTCTCAAAGGCTAGACAACTCATTCATTACAAGTGACTTGATTATCCAGTGGGTTGTTACTGTGTTTTTCATTTCATCTTGCAGAAGTAACCATGGTTGCGGAATAAAGCAGAAACAACATTCATGCGGCGTGGCTGTCCAGTCAACTCATTTCTAAAAGCAATAACTGCTTTATGTTTTTCTGCTGTAGTCAATCTATAGATCCATGTAGTTCACTGCAGGAGTTAGTTCTGTTTGACCTTTGATTTAATCAATCAAGACTTCATGAAGTGCGAAACTATGACTCATGTTGGGCTTAGCATGCCCGAAGTTTCAGTGCAGTCATTTGCATTACACAATGGGTCCGAGCGGCAGGACAATGAAAAGCACCAAGTAGCCTGGAGAGATTCTAATGGGCTGCTTCCTTGGCTCTCCCACCGTGCAACAAATTAATTATCCCCTCTCCAGGAAATCGACACACACACACACACACAATCGTGGCAGATTTTTCCCAGACTGGGTAGCACCTTGAATGAAAAATGTCCCACAACAATAACCCACAGCAATATTGTGTTAGCCACAGTGTGAAATTGATGAGCATGTTTCCTTTCATTGAGTGCTACATTAGTGTCTGGCTGCAGCGAATCATCCATTAGGGATTGTCACCGTTCAATTTGATTTTGCACCGCCGAACATCCCAGGGCAGTTAGAGAAAGGCCTTGGTGTTAATTCAGACTGAGAGCACGAGCAAGAATAAGACTCTCGGGGCGTTGGTGGCTGTTGAAGTGATGAAGATTGGTGTGCGATTTGAAAAAAAAAAAATGCAAAACAGAGGAACAAGGGCCTTGTTGCTGCATCTTTGTGTGAAAAGAATCATTTCTACTAATCAGCCACACCGTCCAACCTTTCTATCGCTTTTATTTTTCTCCGTCTGAATCTGAAGATGGAGAATAAGCAGTACTAACGCCAGCAGTTCTTCTTTACAAAATCTCATCACACGACTACATCCTCAGTAATTGTTCCATTAAATAGAACCCATCTGTAACTGGCAACTTGAGTGATGGCGCCATGGAGGTAAAATGAAGCTCAGTCAAAGTCTCAGATGGCAATCTTCACATGGGTGTTATCACACTTCTGCTCATTAAAAGTGACTTCAGAGCCTCTGAGGGATCATTAAACGTGTGACACTGGCTGCAGCAAGGCACCTGAGTTTTAGATAACTCTGAAGAAGAGATGTCTGAGTTGCCATGAGATGAAAACAGCCTGTCTTTGCATCATTTTGACTGTAAACTATATATTCACATATCATAATCGAAATGTATACTGCGTGTGAATGCAAAAATCACAAAAACATAATTCCATATAAAAATACATTTATTTTGAACAATTTTAAAATGGCAATTTGTTCACAGTAAGAAATATGATTTAAAACAAGACAATATATATATATTAGACAAAAATTAACAATATCATATATCATGCACAACTTTTGGCAATTGCACAACTAGACTATAAGACAAGGTGTTTAATAATTTGTTTAATGTGTAAACTTTAAACCAACCGTGGTATATACACAGTACTCGCTCACCCTAATGTATTAATTTATCTTTTACCACAGATAATTAGGGCATGCTACTGTACAAAAGAAATAAAAAAGAGGACAAACAGCTTGTTGCTAGACTGAGGGTCGTAGAAACACTGCCTGTTCAGTGAGAGGACTTTACAACAAAGTAGGATGACGTAGCCTTTACATTCCTTCTTCTTTTATGTACAAGTTTACATTATTTCCACCTCTAAGGCCAGACCGTCCATATAACACATTTTTGTTTTGAACGACGTTCTGAGACAGTCATTGAAAGCACCGTGTCATCTTACAGAGCCTTCTACATATTTCCTAAAACCACCACAACAGTCAGATTTTGACATTTTTATATAAATATTCATAAGTGTATATTTACAACTCAAAGGCCTCTAGTTAAAGGGCGGGAAATGTTCATGTTTATTCAGAGCTTAAAGTTAAATGGTTTATTTAACATTAAAAAATAATGATTTCAATGTTGTATTAATGATATTTCTGTGGTATGAAGGCAGGGCACGATGTGTTCTTCCTTAAACAGACAACTTTTGTTTTTGTGGGTTGTCTATTAGGGATATAAAGAAAAGATGAAATTATAGAAAGAAAATAAAAATGTAACACTTGACAAATTTTATAGCCGGTTGGTTCATTTTGTGTGTTAGAGGGAAACATTTTTATAACATTAAAATAGTGTATCATTTGTATCCCTGTATTATAATGTTCCTCAAGGGGCTTAATGTCCTCATAGTAGGTCATTATCATCCTCTGTCATTAAATGCTGAATTCAACACAACATAACTATCCGACTTTTACACAGTAAAGCCAATACATCCTTTCTCTTGTACTGACCCATTAAATTAAATGGTACTTTTCTCATTTGATTGTTTATCTAATAGCTTTTTGGTTCGGTTTTCCTACCCTTTGTTTCACGTAATTAAGAAAAACGATGATTTGTCACAGGCAGTACAGAATTAAATCAAAAGTACACAATGGCAGCTGATTATTCATAAAGTACTCTCATTAGCAATACATCCACAGTTTGACTTAAAGCTAGTCAATCTGGATGCTAATTGGAAATGTTTTGCCCGATAACATTATAATCCAATTTCTTTAATTCCCCGGTCCCAAACTAGAGGCCCTTGAGTCTTACTCCGTGGATTGATCTTCATCAAGTATTATAGATACTTACTCTACCCATGTGGGTGAAAAACATGACTAAAGGATAGCAGCTATAAGCGTGAGTTGAATTGTAAAAAACTAAACTAAAATCAATGCTAACAAAGCAAACAATTTCAGCACAATTGTAACACAACAATCTGTACTCACTCAGCGACAAAGTCTTAGACATTAGTACAATTTGGAAATTCCCTTGTGACAATTCTCTCCATATTTCTTCCAATTCCGCCTGAAAAACATGTGCAGAGAAACAAAAAGAGAATAAATTCAGGGACAGGTTTTTGCTTTGAAATCACATGCACATCTCAAGTTGTTTGTTTTAAGGATTTAGAAATGAAATAAACAACTTCTGTTATATTCATGCTTCATCTACATGACATTGATTGCAGGGTGAAGAAAATAACTGTCTACAACATCAACAAAAAAACTCAAGGTTCATTCTCGCTCCCTCTCTAATCTTTCTACTGGAAGATCAAATGGTT